TATTTCCATTTATGTTCAACTTATTTATGAATGACGTTGATGTGTTTTATTTTTTGTAGGATTAAATTATTTCCTGATGACTTCAAGATATTTAAAACTATAAAATCAATTGAAGACTGTGATATTGTACAGCAAGAATTAAAAACTCAATTGTTGTTATATGAATTGTATGGCATTAAATATTATTATTATTTTATTTTTTATTTTTTATTATTATTATTTTTTTTTTACGAGGGTTCGCAACAGCAGAGGTCATATAAACCCTCAGGGTGCCGGTGTTTTTGAAAAAAAGCCCATTTGTAAGTATGTCGGGTTCGAATGCAGGGCCGCTGGATTCGAACCCGGGACCTTTACCTTACAGTGATGAGCGCCGTGTCAAAGACTAAACCTTGCGGCCACCGACGACCCATTAAATATTATTCAATGCTATGTTGTCTTTTACAGTAAGATAAATCTTATTATGTACAATGAAATAATCTGTGACAAAAAATAAATTAAAAAAAACAACTGATAGATTTAAACCGTGTAAGGAATCTAGGGGTCACCTTTGTATATGTAGATGTAATATTTGGGATGAATATTATACTGCGCCCTTTGACAGTTATTGTATCCTCCGTTCTGTATAGCATACCGGTGAGTCCTCAGGAAATGCAATTAGTAGGCCCGGTTTCAATGGTTGAATTTCATTTATCGTCACGTTGGACGATCCAAAACTATTCCTCTAGGGGGCAAGTGTCGCGGCACAGTATGTTAGTAGGTGGTCTGCTTTCTCGCAGAATTTGCACGTGACTTGTTGGATTATATTAATCTTTTTCAAAATCCAATTCAGTGCCCTGTTGAGAATCTTGTTAGGATTCGAAGTTCCTGCTTCCTTTAATGAATTCTGTTACTTCTTTCCTTCTGAAGGCTATTCTTCTGTGCTAAAAGGCTATTGGATTATTTGTGTCCGATGGGCGAATTCCACTCTTCCTCATTTTCATTTGCCTTCTGTCTAAGATACTCATTGACAGTGTGAATTTCTATGCCACAGAAGAGCTCAGGACCTATCAGCGGACCAGCCAGCCCCTTTCATTGCAAGGGCGTCCGCTTTCTCGGTGGCCTCTACTACCACTTGTCCTGGACTCAGGAGAGGGTAACTTTGTTTTGCACACTTAATTTATCTAATTTAGTTTTGCAATTCAGAAACATCTCCAAGCTAAAGATGTTTGAGCTTAGAGTTTTGATGGCGGCCTGACTATCTGAAAAGATAGCTTTAAGCCAGGAACACACTTACCCGATGCTACGCCATGAGACGCTACCCGACGCCTTGCCACGTTTTGGTGGGGTGTGCACATCTATCCGACGCAAGCACACGTCGCGTACAGTCCACAGCGTTTATCACAATAATCACTATCACAATCGCAACGCATCTTTTGTTCTTAATGCACTATTTTGAGCAAAACCTTGTAATAAATTGTTAGTTTAATTTTATGAGCACAACCATCTAATAAATTGTTTGTTAAACTTAATTGTTTTAAATAAAGTTACTCCTAACCATCATAATTAAACAATGTTTATAAAAACCTTTGCATTTTTGACCTCGTTTAATTTTGTTTACATAAAATAACATGTAATTAGTGTAACGACAAAATTACATGTACTTAGTTTGAAATAAACTACAAAAAATATGAGTGTCCTGTTCTGATGCTACCCGACATTACAAAATGGTATAATTTTACGAGCAAAACTATGAAATAAATTGATAATTAAATTTTATGAGCAAAACCGTGTAATAAATTGTTCCAATTTTAGTATATGTACCGCCGAAGCGAGTACAATAAATTGTTAGTAAAATTCATTATATCATTTTGTTTTATTTTGTTTAATTTTCTACCAAACCATTAAAATTAATTTTTTAAATAAAAACTAATTAATTTTTAATCACAGTTAATTTGATTTATATTAAAATAAGTATGTTGTAATTAATATAAATACAATAATACATGTAGGCTGAATAAAAATATGACTGTCCGGTTCTTTTTTCTTCGACTGTACTCGATGCGACCCGACGAAAATCTGGACAGTGGGGATCGCAGAGCGTCGGGTAGGTTAACGTGGCATAGCATCGGGTAGATGTGCATGGGGGTAATGCAACCTTATGGAAAATCGGAGTTTGGATTTGCGTCGGGTAAGTGTGTTTCTGGCTTTATTCTTGTTTTTGTACCCATCGTTCAGATTGAACTGAGTTGCATGGACTTCAGCCAGAAAGATACAGATAAATAAGGATATATGATCGCACATAGTCATTTGTAAATAATTATTTAAAAGTCTTATGTTTTTAGGTAACACCACAGATTTCATTAATTTAATTGTGTAATAGCTTTGTATATTTCATTAATTAGTCCAATACTTGAGTCATCATCTATATGTTCTCCTTGTTATCAAAAATACATTAACTTAAGAAAGTCTGCAAAATAGAATCTTTAAACCCAATTAGCCAATTAATTATACACAAGTTTTTCGAAATGAAAATTTTTTGTCACAGGCGGGATTCGAACCCAAGACATTCGGCACAAAACGCCGCTGATTTAACTTGCGCGATTCTTTGAATATAGAACATTCAAACTTAGGTAACAACTAGAGAGTTTTCATAGAGTTATTTAAATTATTAAATCAGTTAATTTATTGCCCAGAATTGTTAGAAAAAACAACATAAATATACTCGAGAGAAGAACGAGAAATATTTACTTTATCTATCAATGTGTTCAACTACTACTTCCGAAACACACCAATTAATAATATGTTTGGAGAAGGAAATGTTGAAAAATATTTTTATTTTCATACTTTTTTAACTAATTGTAGGTTTAAGTTTTTGTTTCGTAACAATTGGCTATTTGCCGTCAATAAAGCTGTATTTTATTTTTGTTAATAAATGACATTTTTGTCCAACCAAAATTATGCGTTTTGTTATGCAAAGTTGGCTTTTATTACCATTACCAACATAATTACCAATGATTTTGCACTATATTAGTACATATTTGATAGTATTGTGTGAACAATAGTTTTATACATATGATGTAGATAAGTTAGTTTATCTACAAGTGCGCCAAGTTAAGACTGCTTATTTCAATAAGAAGAAACAGTGGAACATGTCCTCTCTTGGTGTGAAATCCTATGCATGCTAAGATTCTTACTCCTGGAAGAGGAAAATCCAAGACATGAAGGTTGCACACGTGAACGCACTTAACAAAGGTTTGGGCTCTGGTAAATAGCCTTAAGCATACGAAGAGCTCGATATTGTAATGGTGGTCGGACAATAGCCCAATATTGGTCGTGAAACAGTAGGCCGAAGGAGCCGATTCTTTTTAACAACTTTAAATATATATAATGAAACAGGCTCGTTTCCTCCAAAACGGAACAGTGGACCCAAATCCCCATGTTAAAGAACAAAATTCTCATATCGGGTGGCATCCCTACGCGCTTTCTATGCGGAGCCAAGAAATGGACACCCTTGAAGTGGGAAACATTGAGTAAACTTTGTTTAAAAGCTGGGTCCAAAAGTAAGTGTTCGTGTGACTCTTACACACCTTGCATAACGACCATGCTCTTGATACGTTAGAGCGATAATTTATCCTCCAGACTTATGTGTCCGGGTATCCAGACAAACACACCGTTTGTCCGCCGAGATGCCCAGTTCAAGTTTTCTCCAACAAGAGCACGACGAGAAGGTCCACGAGAACACATTTTTAAATTATGGACACAGTTATATGGTTGAAAATAAATAGTTAAGTTTTTCCAACAGAGGCAAAATTGAGCAAAAAAATAGGAATAAGGATCCTAACCATAGTTAGGATACATCCATCTGGTAGAAGATGGACACGTTTGAGAGCGTTTAAAGCTTTTGAAGAAATTAAACTTTCAGGATTTACCTTTTATGATCTGTAATATAATCCCAGTAATATACACATATAATAATATTCAGGTGAATTTTAGTACAAGTAAGTTTTAGCTCATTTGAATTAACTTTCCATTCTTAAAACAAAACATCAGAATTATAAATTTTAAATTGTTTAAGGGGCAAACGGTTTTGAGTCTCCTCAGCCCATTGGGCCGAAAGGGCCTTTCAAATGATTTAGAAAACTTTTGTTTTATTTTATGACAAATGACGAAAAAATATAAAAACAAGCTATGTAAATAAATAAGCCTTATCCAAACCTAAAAGCATTCTAGGGAGAATCAGTCCCAACACTCCCCAATAGGGAATCCAAGCTAAAAACTAACACCCAGCTTCTAATCGTCAGAACACTTATCCAATTGAACTCACTTCACCAAAAAAACACATAAAAACACGAATGATGAAGGAACATCAAGCTACCACGAACACACCACTACCATGCTCTTATTGTAGCAGTATACCTCAAAACTTAGTTTTTTTCTGGAGCAGAAATTAGTGCGTATTGTAAGTTTTTTAGTCAGGTGATCTCCTATTTATTATTATTATTTATTTTAAAATAAATAGCTTCAATTTCAGTCTAACGGCAGATCTGATTAAAATTTGGTTGTGCCATTGGATTCTACGTAAAAAAATGATGTGTGGTGATTAGTGACCGTTAATCGATAATTATTCAGAAATCGTGAGATGCGGTCTGGTGTGATGTAGGTTTAGATTGTTTGTAAATCCCAGGCCCTGAAGATGATCCCAATAAAGATCGAAACGTTGGCACGATAAAGAAAATGTTTTTCTGAAACCTACATCACACCAGACCGCATCTCACGATTTCTGAATAAGTAAAATGTGTTTTTTATTATTTTTATTGAATTGCTTTTAATTATTTTAAGATTTTATACATTGTATCTATCCCTAAAGCCAGAAGCCAGAAAGGCCCCGTAATGCATTGGCATTATGCATGATTGTAGCAGTTAATTATTTCTTTGTCTGAACCAATGAACTGAAGGAAATACAATCAATCAACAAAAAAGGAAGAAAGGAATCAATTTATATAAAAATATTACCTACTTACTGTTAAATAACCTCAACAAAGACTGCTAAAGTCACAACCAGATTCCTGCATAATAGAGATTGCATACATATTATCAGTATAAGGTAATTGTAAAAGTCGGGAAAATACAATATTCCTACCTGGTGCATAGTGCATCCAATAAACGACGGCTGCAAAACTTCAATGCCATCAAAATTCATAACAATTAGAGAACATTTGACCGATAGGGAGATAGTCATTCACGGTACTTGTCGAGCAACAGACGGGTAACTCTTCACACGGGGGTATTTATACCAGGAGACAGCGAAGGCCAACCTCGGATGACTACACGAGTTTCCACAGCCGTTCTGAAGAGGTCTATGTCTGATAGAAAATTTCTATTACTACCTAGAAACATGCAAACTTTGACCTTAGTACGAATAGCTATATAAATTATTCAAATCAGATAACAGTCATAATGAATAACCATTTAACAATTGTATGCTAAATAAAATGAGTTACATAATTGAATTCATAGAAAGCTTATGTGTAATAATCGTTTATTTACTGAGTACATCTACTACTACATCTCGGAGACCATCAATTGAATAAACAGATTTCAAATCGAATGTTGAACAAATCCGTTAAATACAAAATACAATCTGTTGAATATAATATGATCGCCTAGTTTTATTGTAATAAGTGAAAATCTAACCAAAACAAAAAGTTTTATTGCCGAACTTTCAGTGATTATATATACCTATCAATACTATATTAGACATAAAAAAGGAAAATATATATTCTTGAAGTACATCTATTATTTATTTGCAACAAAAACATGATTAAAAGAAGTTGGTAGCATCGGTGGGCCGGATCGGCAGAGAATCTCCCATTACGAGCAGTTTCAACAGGTGGCCCTCAAAGGATCTGACTCGTAGAAGAGAGGTCATCTTAACCCGATTAAGAATAGGCCATTTGAGGATGACCCGTGGGCACTTACTTTTCGGCCAAAGGTATGTAGAGAAAGGTTACTCGGTGTGTCCCACCTAGAATGGTGCAACTCCTTGGCTCCTTGTAGAGAGCGTGTAGGCTGCTACCCGATATGAGAATACTGCTTGAGCACAACAGCAAGTATCTGGGGCTCCTGTTCCGATTTTTGGAAGAAACAGGGTTGTTCTATTGTACATAATCCATATATGCGTCCATATAGTGGCCATAATTGACAATATTAATTATTCCAATTAATTATTCGAAAATCGTGAGATGCGGTCTGGTGTGATGTAGGTTTCAGAAAAACATTTTCTTTATCGTACACTCTCAACACGACACGCAAGAATGGTACAATTACACAGAAGACAAACACTTTGAGCCCTGAAGATGATCTCAATAAAGATCGAAACGTTGGAACGATAAAGAAAATGTTTTTCTGAAACCTACATCACACCAGACCGCATCTCACGATTTCTGAATAATTATCGATTAACGGTCACTAATCACCACACAATTCCAATTAATTTTTTTTTATAGAAGGTTTTTGGTTGAGAAGAAAAATAGTCTCACAAGTGGGATCGAACCCATCCATAATTTTTGTTATGGGGCACAATAATTTTTTAAAACAATTAATACCGTGTATAATGTCCTCTGTAAGGTAAAATCTCTGAGCTGTTAGGTGTACTGTTAATAAGGTTGTCACTAATTTCATAAGGAATTTCATTTCATAGATGTTGCAACGTTGGTTGGCTATCGAACCAACGCATCCCACATATGTTCAATGGGTTCAGGTCTGGAGACAATGAGGGAAGGGGCAGATGAGAAATTCTCAGTTTTTTAAATAGTGATGAGCAATCCTGCCTTTATGAGGTCTGGCATTGTCATTCAGAGATCGAGAATCCCTGCCAATGAGATCCCTGGTTTGAGGTAGGTATTCCTCGATAATTTCTTGGACAACGGACTACCGTTAGGATGCCTTCAACAATATGGAGTCCAGTTCATCCTCCAATGTAAATCTCAGCCCAGACCATTACACCGCCTCCTCCAAACCGCACTGAAGGGGGAGCACTAACTGGGGCGGGGCACTGTACGCATCCCCGTTCTCGGTAGACACTTCGGCGCCTGCTATCACTATGCAGACAGAAACGGACTCATTAGAAAATATAACATCATTCTAATTGGTGTTTTCTTCTAGGGAATCGCTGCACCATATTCTGAATTGCTGGTGGCGGGCTGTTGATGCAGGTCGTCCCAAAGGGACATAGGATGTGAGGCCAACTTCCGACAAACTATTGCGAATCATTTGTGTTCATAAAGGCCTTGTCAAAACATCTTGTACTTCATTTAGTATATGGCGGGAACTGAGAAAAGGTTCCGTTTTGCAACAGTGACAATATTTCTGTCCTCCCTTGGCGTCGTAATGCACTGATATCCACTACCAGGCCTCCTATGGGCACTTCCAGTATCTCGGAATCGGGCTGAAAGCAAGGGAGACCACGCGCTGAGAATCGTCAACTGCCACAAAGATATCCACTTGCCGGTTGATGACTCATCTCGTAATAATATTGCTAACTTCTGGTTCGAGATGATGTCTTTCCATGGTTAAAGGAAGACAACTGGATGAAAATGAAAAAAAAAGACAAGAAAAGGTGTTTGTTTACAAAATGGGTTTACTAATTTTAATTAAATCCGTTATTAAAAGTAAGGATTAACATTTGTTTGTTTTTGTTTGTATTTTCTATTTTGTTTTATCCAACTATCAAGAATATATCGGTTAATTTAATGAAAATTAATAGAACAAGAATAAATTACAATTATCCCTAAATCATTTTTGGATAGATTAAGTCGAAAGCTGGGCAGATACCAATTCAATTTGCTTTTTCATCCAGACAAAACCGAGATCCAGATTATTCGTGGGTAAAAAATTGGCCGATACATGTAACATTTTAAACAGAAATTTCGTAAGAAATTAAAACAAAAAAGAACAGAATAGCGAAAAAATTGTTGACAATTTCTTTCGAAAGTGCAATCGTATCAGTTGACGTAATTAAGCAAGTTTGCAGATGTAAAAGATTTGAATTAGCCCGCTTCATCACGAAAGGGGTCGCGTGACCGTATACGATAAAATAAATAGTAGCCAGAGCCATGAAAATTTAATACAGACCCGAGGTTCCTTTTCGCCTGCCAGACGGGAGTTTTGCCATTCTCCGGTAGGCTATATAATAAAAATGTAAGTCCTGTGTTAATTTTAACAAAATATAAGTATATACGATCATTTTACCGTAGGAACTGAGAGTGATTACTTTACACGAACAGGATTACAATAAAGGTGGATATACATATTCTTCAACAATTTTTGAATATTTCATCTTATTAAAAAAATACTTAATAAACATTAAGGTAAATACCTCAATGTTTATTAAGTACTTTTTAATTGCAGTAAAATTAAATCTATAATTTCTGAATGACATAATGTGCAATTTGAGCATCAGTAACTTTAACTTCCGCCTTTCCTCGTTGTTTTTTGGTATGAAAAACGCAAAATTCTGCCATATTCAGTGACAGGTTTTGTTTTTTCCGGTTTGTCCATTACACCTATATTGAAATACCATATATCGTTCTATGTTCTAAGTTTATCCAGTTAAAGTCATTTTTATTTTTTATTTAACTTGGCTTGTTTTTGTTGCTTTGCTTTGAAAAGTGTAATCCGTTTTTGCCAGTTTCAATCAGCCCTGATTAAATTTAAGAATGAAGTTGTTGCATTTTCCGGAAAAGGAAAATTTCTAGTCAAGCACGACGAACTGCCCAATAACTTCATGCCTATTAGAAATACCTTAGCCAATATTGTTTAAAAATACATCTTGGGCTGACTAAAACTTTTTTTATAACATCACGGTATCGCTGTAATGAATCTAAAGTATAATTAGGAAACAATGTTGATATTTTCCTTTACATGATTTTTAGGTCCAATAATATTTAAAAGCTAGTTAAAACTCGTTCTGTTACAGGCAATGGCAACTTCAACAAATGGTTTTTTTACAGCAAAATCGTTACTGACAGGCCAAAAATATACACACGAGTAAGAATTATTTTTATTTACATTATTTTTAAGAAAACAAAATCTGGTTCGTTTCCAGAAAGTTTCTAGTAGAAAATCTATGAGCAACAGATATTTTGAAATCGATTATTTAATGCACAAAGCCAATCCTTAATTCCAGACTATTAACAACAGTGGCTAAGTAAAATATTTAAATTCATTCTAATTTTATGGAAACTGGGTGCGCAAATCTCAACGAAACACTTTATCTACTTCTTACTGAGATTTACTAAATTTTATACCTGGTACAGCTTCAACAACTTAAAATAAACAAATCTGAAATAAAAAGACCCGAAACTATATTAAACTATATAATAATCACTCTAATAAATCCTTTTTTTATTTATTAAAACAACAGGTATATGTAATATATTTAAAAAACTCAATCCTCATCTCATTTAACAGATACTTATCCACACTTTCAAAAGGAAGTTCAATTCGTATAAGTCGTGTATTTATTCCATTTTACCGTTTAGCTTCGATCAGTTCAAAAACCTATAATTTTAAACCTGCCGGGCGATCAATTAAACAAAAAGTACATAATTAAAAATCAATAGAACTAGTTCTTGCTACATGTCGAATAGAGTCGGTTAGTAACTTATGAACCTTCCAGTGTGAGTATTTGGTATTCATGCCGACGTCTCATGATTAATGCAATGTGTACGGGAAGACATTTGTAGATCGATGCAACTGTTTTAATATTAAAATTACACGCCTGGCATTATTCAAGGATAGTGAAATTTGTCAGTGGTTTGGATGAAGAACATTTTTTTTCATAATTTAAACAAGGAATTTAAATTACGCATGGGCATACACAGATTTATTTTTAAACATTATCTATTTGATAGGTTTGAATGATAGATCAAGGTGGTCATGTCTATCATCATGTCCATGTTTTAAGTGTCTTCTAAATCGTATTTTCAGTAAGAAATAGAGAGCACTGACAAATGGTACCAAGTGATTTTGGTTTGTCTTGTATGTTTCTCAGGACGGCAGTGCACAGTCACCATATTTAGTATATAGATAAAAAATAGAGGTGAATAAAGGAATTTGTTTTATTGATGACCTTTCGGTAAGCATATCAAAATCATTATCAGGGGCACACAACTATAATCACTACATAGTGTACGACCTACGTAGCAATGTACGTTTTGTTAAAATAATTTTAATAGGGATTATGTTACAACAGTGGTAGAGCGCTACAAATAACTCAGTTGTCTTTATTGAATTTTATTTTACAAGAGAAGAATAGTAATCCATTAATCTCTTATCACAACACTATTTATATTAGGCGTGCTGGAAGATTTTCGGAAAGGTTCGGGATAAAAGGTGTTGGGACTAGGGGCTTTGGATTATGGTCCAGGGTTCATGGAAGCGTCTGTATTCACTATTAACGTTTTTGAGTATAAATGTTTTCTAGTTCTGTATAGAATAATAGGCTAATGTAGCGGATACGAAGTAAGAGAGCTTGAGCAATGGTTAGAAGGATTTTGGACTGGAGTGTCTGGATACTTTGGAGGTCGGAATAGTTGGTTGAACCCCACAGTTCACACTAGGTAGGTTAAGGCAGATTGGTTCTAGTAATTATAGATGTGAGGTTTGTATTTTCGTATGGGTTTAGAATAGTTTTTTGAGTAGTTTACATAACCTGTTCTATTATTTTGAGCCGATTGTGGGGGTTCCAAGTAAGTCGTTGTTAATATAAAATCCCAAATATTCGTCGAGATTTATTGCTAGGAGAGGAACAGATTTGTAACAGATTCGAGGAGAGTTGAAGCGGCGAAGTGTGAATGTTATTTGCAGGGATTTGGTTTAATTGGTCAGATCCTTCAATTCTTGAGCCATAACTTGGAAGTTTCTGAAGGCCACTACTGTGTTTGATTTTGCTGAAAAAATGGCGGTGTGTATACTGTGAGGATTGATATGTATGCAGTGTATACTGAATAGAGAATGGGGCCTAGAATGCAGCCTTGCGCAACACTCGGTTTCGCATAGTTTGGGAATTTTATTTTCATTGATAATTTTTATTGGGTTTGAAAGTAAGTACTTTTAAGGACTTATTTGTATATTATAGTAAGGAAAATTAAAGCCTTTTTTAGGAAGATTTCGGAGGTATTTTTTGGTAACAAGATAAAAATCGGTGGGAAATCTTTTTTTACCAAAGAAGTACAAATTAGACTTTAAAATTTTTTAGTGAGACACTAAGTTTATATTCTTTTTTAATACCATAAAAAAAACCTGAATCCAAATTTTTGGGAATATCAAAAAACATTTTTCTCTGCTTCTCCGCCCTCGATTGCCTCAAAATTTTCTCAAAAATCACAAAAATAGATATTAATTTTAAACGATCTTACTCCACAGCAGCAAACTTTACAGGGGTTTGGAACTTTATAATATACACGTAATAGCACAAACTGGGTCTCTTAGACTCTGCGATATAAAATAAAACGTTTGTCGATTTTTTCCTTATTTTCCTTACTTATAAGGACGTAAAGTCTAAAAATTGACAAAAGAAGAGAAATTACGATTACTATCGGTTTTCCAATGGTGGACATTGGATAACATTCAGAGGAGTTACGAATTTTTAAATGGTATACCAAACAAAGGAGAAAAAAATAAAACTTTGTATTTAAGGACTTTAAAGAGTCCAATCTCATTAAATGCAATCCTGCATATTATTTTCATTAATATAAAATGTTTCATTAAAATCGGTGAACCCATGTCTGCAGCCTTTTTCCGATTTCTGATTAAAACAATGATCAGACGCGAGTTAAGAACTTTTGTATGCCCACCACTGAATTGTACATTTTCCGATTCCATACAAGGATATTCTGTATTATGTATTAAGATTAAAGCTTTAAAAAAAGACAACTTTTTTGGATGCAAAAGGGAGGATTTTTTATCTAGCTTTTGTCTATTATTTTGTATCCTGTGAGATCGAGTGCCAGATATTACTAAAGGTACGTCGAATTAAAATCGAACTCATGATTGAAGTGTCTGATGAAAATATAATTTAAAACCTCAAGACGGTTGTCATTAACTAGAAAACCCTCTGAGCAAAAGTTGAAATTTAAGTATAACCACAGTCGTGATCCAGACTTTGACCCGAGTGGACGTGTTTTTACTCTCTCCGAATTTTACGTGTTTACGAAGATTGATAAGAAGAATCAACCTTTTCGTTCGTTTTGAATTCAATTTTTAATTGTGCTTTTCTCAGAAGATTTTGTTTTCTTTTCCTTTTTCCCGTTTTTATAGTCTCACTGGCGTTAATTTTTCTTTGTTTTCTTTGTTTAAATATGTCCGCCCATAGCGGGGGCGAAACTCCATACAAATAACGGAAAAATGACTCGAATGACTCGACGACTTAATTTACCTTGCATCTACGAGTAATTTCTCTAACAAGTCTTTCCAAAAGAAAACCTATCTCATTTCAAGACCATGATTCGATTCAAAGAGCCAAAGAGGATACCCTGAAAGAAAAGTCCATGGCCAAGGAAAATTTCAGACTTCATTGGCAAAAAAAAAAAATAGGTTTTCCCAAGTCAAGAAAGGCCCTTTTTTGTATTTGTCGAAAGTGAAGACAAAAACTTAGGTAATGCTCACGCTATGTTCTTCGGTAAGTGGCTTTTTAGGAAAAATGTAAATAATAACAACATACTCCACATAAGAGTAATGGGTAAAAACAGAATTAAAATAATTACATGTGGTAGGGAAATGGCTAACTATTTAGTAGAATCTCAGAAAAGAAAAGCTGTTTCTCTACATTCCAGATTTCCTTATTAAAAAAGTACACGTAATAAGAAATGTCGATTTAGACTTGTCCGAAGAAGAAATTTTGACAAATTATCTTCACCCTTTCCCGCGTTCTCTGTAGACCGTATTAAAAGATATGTTAATAACTAAGATAAAATAAAAATTATGCCACTGCAAACATGTGTGGTCACGTTCGCCGGCCAATATATGCCAGATCATCAGGAGTTACTGTCCGGTATATCCTTACGTCCCTCGAGTAAGACAATGTGGAAATTGTCTGAGATTTTTCCACTCTTCAGCCCAATGCAGAGGGAAACAACGGTGCCTAAAGTGTGGAGAAGAGCACATTCTAAAACATTGTAAATCACGAGATACGACTTGCGTTCATTGCAAAAAACAACACCTTGCAAATAACCGAGAATGTGAAGTGTATCAAAAGATTCAGGAAGAAAACAGAAAGAAATCCACTGTTTCTTCTTAAGTCTCAATAGTTCTAAATAATAAGTTCAAATTTTTGGATTTTATAAAAGAGAAAGATGAAGATTTCCCAAATTTACTTAATAATAAATCTAATTCCCCAGTCTAAGAGGTCAGTCGACAATTTAGAAAATCTTTAATCAAGGCAGATAAGTTATATCTCAAGCCGACAAAAATTCCTCCATTCCGAATGACAGTAAACTTACGATGGAATCAAGTGTAGTGACTCCCCCAAACAGGACGGACTCCAACAAATACATAGGCTAATACGGAAGCTGAAAAATTCATCCACCCATTAAATACGTTGACAAATAAAATTTCTCAAAACCATCATAATATGTTTTCAACAGACGAGATAGGAAAGGCTTTATATAATTTAGTGCAGGATAATTCAGAAACAATGAAATATATTAGAAATAGATATATCCAAGATAAAATGACTTAATGATAATATATTTCAAGGAACAAAAATATGTCCAACAAAGGTATAAAAGTAAATTTTTTACAATGGAATTCCAGATCCATTATAAAAAAAGGTAGCCTTGAAAAAGTGTTACTTTCCAACAACATTGATTTGGGAATTATTTCGGAGACTTGGCTTAATCCAAACTTTATTTGCAAATTTCCTGGTTACCGGTTTGTCAGACAAGATAGGAATGATTCCTATGCAGGAGTTGTCTACTAATTAAAAATCCAGTATCGGAATTTACCAGTTAATCATAACCTCAACTGTTTAATGGCACTACGTTTGC